CCGCCGGCCCCGTCTGCCGCCCCCCGCCCCCCCCCCGCCATCCTCTGGCACTGGCAGGAGGAGGAGGAGTGCACGTTCAGCCCCCAGTGAGTCCCAAACCCATGCCATCTTCTACACATTTCATAGCTCTTGAGTTTGGGTTGGGTTGAGTTGAGTTGGGTTGGATTGGGTTGGGTTGGGTGCATCCCTTGTCCAGGCTCGTTACTGAGCACAAACCCAATGGCCAATGAAGAAAAGACTGTTGTGCTCAATAGACAGACTGTTGCAGGTAGGATCTGCCAAGGTCATGGTCTGGGCAGAGGCAAGGGCTGCCCACAGCGAGGAGCCGGCAGCCCCTGCGTGTTGCCACGGTGCCTTCATGGAGGGCATCTTGGCCTCTTGACTACCCGCGTGCCCTCTCCTCAGATCCCCCCGTAGGCTGCAGGCCTAAAGCTCCATCCTAAACAAAGGAATCTTGCTGGTTTTGCTAATTACGGGTCTCGGTGGTGGGTTTTTTTCCTTGCACTCAAGTGCTGAGTGTGACGGTGCTTTTTATCTGTGTGAAAGTGTATCTCGGAGGAAGTGCACTGATTGATGTTGGGGGATGATAGAGAGAGTGCCTGACTGAGATTCACACAGCTTCCCTTATCTGGCCCTGCCATAAGCCCAGATTTCCTTTAAAACAAAAAAAAAGCCAGAAAAAAAAAAAGCATTCTTCTTTCCTGTTGTTGTTTTTAAAATGATTTCCACTAGTTTCTTCCTTTGGTGCCTGGTTGCTTCCTACACAATGGCTACTGTCCTCAAGAAATTCTTGTGGGGAGTTCAGCGATTTCTATGTCTCTCTGTCTTCCTTTGAACTAAATTAACTTGAATCATCCATTTATGAATGGAGGTTTGTTCCCAGAATAGCTGCTTCCCTGCAAGCATCCTGACTGAGCTGACACTGGCAGATTAATTAGGAAATTCACCTTTAGGCTTGGAGGTTCCTTATTTTACAGAGCACAAAGGTCTCGGAAGGTTATAGCGTGCGATTTATTAGAAATGTTTCCAGAAACGTACTCTTCCCTCCCAGATGCAGGCTGTGGCCAGTGGTGCGTCTGATCTATAGATAAATATCTGCGTATTATAAAGAGAACACAAAACCTCTCTGTTGAAGGGTGAATATTCATCTTATCTAATGCATATGTTAAAGGGTGAATATTCATCTTATCTAATGCATATGTTGAAGGGTGAATATTCGTCTTATCTAATGCATATGTCTCTACTTATATCTCAGGAAAGTTCGCTCAGGAGCCAATCCGTATGCGTGCAGGAAATGGAAAGTGATCTCGGAGAGAAAGGGTGGGAATCAGGTTGAAATTAAGCACCGCGTCGTTACTATTGCCGGGAAAACAAAGGTGAGCAAATTTTCTTTTCTGTTGGCTGGGGATGACTAACCCTGTTCAGCCGTCCACATATCTGGAAATACATCACGAGAGATGAGACTCTTTTCACCTAACATCAAACTTGGGGATCTACTTGCAGCTAGCCATGCAAGCTTCTGCTGAAGCCAATAGGCAGACGTGGACACTTTCAGGTCCTTTAGACACCGACCCAAAGTGAGTTTCCATTGAGGAACACAACTTATTTAGATTTCAGCGCTTAACCTTTTAGCAGTCTGAAGTTAGGTGAGTTAATCTTGCCAGTTAACTTCAACAGGGAGAAGCCGGAGTGACTGAAGAGTGGAAAAAGTTGTGGGTGTAAGTTTTATCAACACATATACCAAAGTCTGCCTGCTGTGGTCACAGTCAGACTGTGGTCCCACCATGCTGTGGTCACAGTCAGACTGTGGTCCCACCATGCTGTGGATTTCTGGTCACAGACTGTGATCCCACCACGCTGTGGATTTGTGGTCACAGACTGTGGTCCCACCACGCTGTGGATTTGAGCTTTGGAGGGTTTTCTGGTCATGCAGATACCTGAAGAACACTTTGCTGAGCTGTTGGGTGGTCAGGCTCATGTAGATACTTTAGCAGTGACGTTGGTTATTTGTATATCTATGTGTATGTAATCAAGACAGCAGGATGAAATTGCTCGATCGTTCCTTTGTAGACTGTGAGCACCCTTGTGATTCAAGCAGCGAATGTATCTGCTTTGTATAGATGTATGGCTACGAACAGAGCTGGGTCAAGCGAGAGAGTCATCTCCTTTCATGTCACCAGTAAGTATACCCTATCGAGGACAGCCATGTTAAATTAATGTTATTTCGTCTGTTTTGCTAACAATAGACGCCTCAACACCATCATCTGATGCCTGTCCTTCATAAAATCGTTTAATCCTTTAGTGTTTTAGGTTTACCTAAAGTTTTCCTAAGGCAGCTGTTAAAATCGCCGTCTAACATCACAGAATCACCAAACGGTCAGGGTTGGAAGAGACCTCTGTGGGTCACCCAGTCCAACCCCCTGTCAAAGCAGGGTCACCCAGAGCAGGCTGCACAGGACCACGTCCAGGCGGGTCTTGAATATCTCCAGAGAAGGAGACTCCACAACCTCCCTGGGCAGCCTGTTCCAGTGCTCCGTCCCTTCTCTCCTCCAGGCTGAACAAGCCCATCTCCCTCAGCCTCTCCTTGTAGAAGAGATGCTCCAGTCCCCTCACCATGCTCGTAGCCCTCCACTGGACTCTCTCCAGCAGCTCCTCATCTTTCTTGAACTGGGGAGCCCAGAACTGGACACACTACTCCAGATGGGGCCTCACCAGGGCAGAGCAGAGGGGGAGGAGAACCTCCCTCGACCTGCTGCCCACACTCCTCCTAATGCACCCCAGGATGCCATTGGCCTTGGCAGCCAGGGCGCGCTGCTGGCTCATGGTTAACCTGTCGTCCCCCAGGACACCCAGGTCCCTCTCCACAGAGCTGCTCTTCAGCAGGTCAGCCCCAGCCTGTACTGGTGCATGGGGTTGTTGCTCCCCAGGTGCAGGACCCTGCACTCGCCCTTGCTGAACTTCATCAGGTTCTTCTGTGCCCAACTCTCCAGCCTGTCCAGGTCTCGCTGAATGGCAGCACAGCCTTCAGCCAAGCGATTAGTTCTGCTGGCATTGGTGGAGTGGCAGCCCCCTGAAAATGATGCAAAATGGGCACTTGTTGTCCCGAGAGTGATTGCTGGTGGGCTTTGGCAGTCCCTGAAAAGACCTGCAGAGAAATTAATGTGGTGTCACAAAATGAGTAAAGATGTACTGTAATAGCATTTTTGAAACCAGTAGCAAAGAGCTTCTGTCTTCTGGAAAATCCATCCCCGTATGCACATGGCTGAAGTGGTATTTTAATCCAGGTCTAGAAGTGAACTAGAAGATAATGCTTAAGATCACTTAGGTTACTGTTAGTTTCTACAGGAAGGGGAACTATATTCATTACACGGGCCTGCCTTTGATCCATTTTGAATGTATTCCTTTTAATGAGATTGTACTCTTTAGACGATTAACTGATTGATTGATTTTTTCAGTCTTTTTTTTCCTTATTCAAAACCAGATAAGATGAGGATAAGGCTCTATTTTTAAAATGGCTTTTCCAAGTTAATTTTGGCAACAAAATACACAACCTAATAGGAATTTCGTCTATTTTTTCAACTCGTAGGGGGTCTTGAAATTAATCTCCAGCCTCGCAATCAGCTCACAGAGAAGGATAACATGTCCTTGCAATGCACAGCAGACAAATTCACCTTTGAGAAGCTAGCGTGGTACAAACTCAGCGCTCACGCCTCGCAGGCTCCCTTTGGAGGGCTGCCCATGCCCGTCTGCAAGAACCTCAATGCTCTCCAGAAGCTGAACGCGACGGTTTCAAATATGAATGGTGAAAACGTCACCTTGGAGCTCATCCTTCGTAACATCTCCCTCCAGGATGGAGGGGACTATGTGTGCATCGCTCAGGACAAAAAGGCTAAAACGCAGCACTGCCTGGTGAAGCACCTCACCGTCCAAGGTACGGATCTTTTACCATGAACCAAAATGGGTGGTTGTGTGTGAAAATAATTGCAATAGTGTCAGGTTTTGGTATCTTCAGGCCTTGCATCTGTTGGTGAAGCACCTCACCGTCCAAGGTACGGATCTTTTACCGTGAACCAAAATGGGTGGTTGTGTATGAAAATAATTGCAATAGTGACAGGTTTTGGTATCTTCAGGCCTTGCATCTGTTGGCTGAGTGGTGCACACAGTTTGTTAAATAGATTTAGAGCATTTGTTGTCAAATGCGAGTCTGGGGCTTGTCCGGACAGCAGGGACTTACTACTTCATCAGAACCAGTGAGGAAACACTGACCGAGCCACTGTGCTGTGCACGGTGATGAGTTCGGCTTTTGCACAAACAACAACACGTGTTTAGCTGAACAACTTCTCAATTTTACTTTTCAAAGCATGTTTTTCCCTCCACCTGTAGATGCACATGTGTATTCACAGCATTAACACACAGCTTTGTGTCACTGACTCTGGAGTTTGGAGTGGTGCCTATAATTTAAAACTGTCCTGAAGTGGTGCTGGTATTCAGGTGCAAGCAATGCAAGCTGATAATCAATCAGCTTTTCACACCGATAGTGATGACTTTTCTTTGGGACCTGGATGTCTGGGCTGATTAGGCAGATTCAGGAAAATACCTACGCACATTCACGGGCTGTCCTGAGTGGATGTTTGATGGAGCAGCAGTATCAGACAAATGTGAGGGAAGCAATTTCTCACCTATTCCCTCTTCCCTCAGCAGCCTGAGCAATTACAATTACAGGTTAAACCATCTAGAGCAGGTTACATCAATACCGTTATAATTTTCTTGGCTATTAGGTTTTTTCTCATGTCATGTGGAGGTTTAATTATGATCTTAACATCAACACTGTGGCTGTTGGCGTTATAAAAGGGTTTGAGACTTTATTACTGGGCCAAGCGTGTAGAGTGTCATCAAGAGCTGTTACTGCAAAAATGGATGTTTTCTTCAATGGTCAGTAATTTTGCCATATTGTCAAACCAACAGAGCCCATGGCACCCACACTCATACGAAATCTGGAAAATCAAACGACAAACGTTGGCGAAACCATAGAAGTGTCATGCATTTTTTTTCATTCCTCCTCCAAACATCATGTGGTTTAAAAATAACGAAACCCTGGTAGAAGATTCAGGTGAGGATTGCTCCTTTGCTATGAATTTGCTGTCACCTAAGGGCTTTCTTTCATGGGACTCGCGGCTGATTGTCACCATGGAAAGTTTCATTGTGAATTTGTAACACAAAAAGTGGCATAAAAATATCAGAACTGAGAATCATGATTTTTTTCCAGGTATTGTTTTGAAAGATGGAAACAAAACACTAACCATACGTCGAGTGAGGAAAGAAGATGGAGGTCTGTACACCTGCCTTGCCTGCAACATCCTTGGATGCAGAAAAGCGGTGGCTTTTTTCTCAGTGGAAGGTTAGTGTTAGCTGCTTTCCAGGCTGTGCAAGAAATCTTTATAATTACTAAGAGGAAAATCTACTGGTTAACCTGATCGGAGAACTGAAAATACACCGTGAGGTTGATGACCATTCCTATCAAGCTCAAATTGGGTGCTGTCGTAGCCATCGTAATCCCAGCTGTTGAGGCTGATGCTTGCTTCTCCACAATGTTGTTTAGCGCTTTTCAGCAAAAGCTGAATTTATCTTACTTGTGGTGGGAAAGAAAACTCTGCCAGTCTATCTTGCATGCGAACCTGTACAACAGAGCCTACCTAAACCTGCGGGTATCCTGGGGTATCTCTGTTGTCTTGGTAACATAATTGTCATACCGTGTTTTTTAACAGTGATAACTTTTTAAATGATGGCATTGCTGTCACAGCATCTGAGGAAAACAGAGTGAAGACTTTGTGCAGTCTCTTGTGATTGCCATCCCATTCCAGTGATAGGAACAGTAGCAATTTTGGGTTAGGGGACTCCAAGCTCTGAAAGCAGCGTTTGTGAGACCCATCTCTCACTTGTTCCAGTCCTATTGCGGCACACTGAAATGCAATTTGTAATAATAAACAACAAATCCTAACAAGAGGTTAGTCTGCAGTCTGAGTAGCTGGAACCATGATGGACTTTCCACCAAGAGTTGCAATGAGAAGTCTGGAATTAAAACATCCTTGCCCTCAATATTTCTACATTTGCAAAGTTTGGCCACTGAATCCTTCACAAACCTCGGTCTTACAAGTCAGGGTGATTGTCCAATCCGTTCCGTTAAGGTAATTAAAGCAGCATCCTGTTACTCTTATAGGTCCCATTAGGATATGAAGATGTTGGGCAATATGTTTACATGGGGTGGAAATGATCTGCAGCTGACATCAATGCAGATTTCAGCTGATGTGGTAAATAGGGCTGGGGCATGCCTGTAAAAGTTGGATATCTGTGTAGGACATACTGTTTCGCTCCAAGAAATTTATAGTGCAGGTCCTTGGGGCCGTGCAACGGAGTGGGCTACTGTGTAGGAAAATCTGCGTGGTCGAAGGGTGAAATACAGGAGCATGATGTGGAGCTGAAGAGGAGAGCTGCTCCTGGGCATTAATAGGTGTTCAGGTGGTATCTGCTGGAGACTGTTTTACTGGAAAAGGGATGTTGTAAAGAAGATCTTATTTTTATGTGTTCTTGCAGAACTGTGTTTTTTCGTGTCACAGTTAAAGCACGTAAAGAGACAAGAGAGAGGTTGTTCTCTGGGTCGTTCTCACAGAACTTTATCTATTGTATGACAGGGTTTTTTTTGGTTTATGGAGAAAGAGTCATTCATTTTGAGTATTGTAAAACAATTATTTCTTTTTAAAATGTGGAATTTTACTTTTTTGTATTTGCCAGATGTCCAGATACTGTCCTTGGAACAAAGCTGATGCTAAGAAATTGGGTGGTGTGTAAAATAGCACGAAACTTAAGCACAATATTCCAACATAAAACCCCAAGTTTTTTTGTTTGTTTTGCTTTCGTTTCCTTGCCCCATGTTGCACTTTTAAAATGAACCTTCAGAACAAGGAACTCCATTCTCTACTTTAATGAATGAACAAACCCAATACGCTTCCAACTATCACTCAGATATTCATTTATTTCTTCCCAGGCGCTGAAGAGAAAACAAATCTGGAGCTCATTATCCTCGTTGGCACTGCGGTGATTGCCATGTTCTTCTGGTTGCTTCTCGTAATCATCCTCCGGACCGTTAAGCGGGTAATGAAAAAATGCTCGTACTGTCCTATCAGCGCTGGTCTTGCATGACAAATGAGAGCTGACTTGAGGCCTTTTGTGTTGTTGCTTTCCATTGTTCCTAAATCAACAGACGCATTTTTTCTCTCCATGCCGTAGCATTCTGGCTTGGAACCGGGGCGCGGAAATTTGTTTTTAATTGAGCAGGCCCTCGCACGAGGAAAAAAAAGAAATGTTTCAGCTCGTTTTGCTTATTAAAAAACAAAAAAAAGTGCAAGTAATTAACGATGATCACACTCATGATG